TTTTCTTGGCAGTCCATGGTACATTCAATACTCTTCTCCAGCACCACAGCTCAAAGGCGTCAATTCTCCTTCTATCCTCCCTAGTCATTGTCCAATGTACTTACATATATATCAGTATTAATAAAAGGAAGCATATGTAACTATTTAATACTGCACAAAATAGAAGACAGTACAAGTGAAAGATTAAAACAGCATTTCAAAAAAGACAAAATTCACCAATAAAAATGTTCTTGGTTACTCAGGATAATGTAAGTAGAAAAACAAGCTGAACATCAAGAATAATTATGGTTAGTATTGTGCTTAATAGCTGCAGTGCTCTTTGGAGACAAGAATGACTAAGCTTCACCTCACATATTTGGGACATATTGCCAGGAGGGGCAATTCCTTGGAGAGGGACATGATGTTGGGAAGGGTAGAGGGTCTGCCAAGGAGAGGAAGGCCCTCAACCAGGTGGATTGACACGGTGACTGCTGCAATGGGCTGTTGTGTGTCAGTGTGAGGATGGCGCAGAACAAGACTGGGTTCAGATCTTTTGTTCATAGGGTCCCTATGAGTCATACTGAACTTGATGGTACCTAACAACGACAACAACAACATTCTGCTTAATAAAGATATAGACAAAGCTAAACACACAACCAAAACAAAGAGCTGAATGAATGTCGCACTTAACAACAACAACAACAACGTTTATGGAGGGAGGTGTTGCCTTTTACTAAGCTCAGTTTTGTTATGTGCCATCAAGTTGCCTGCATCTCACAGAGACCCTATGTACAGCAGCTCAGAACCCTGCCTTGTCCTGAGCCAGCCACATTGACTGTGACACACCTAATCCCATTGCCCCAGTTATTGTATCAATCTGTTTTATCCAAGGCTTTCCTCTCCTGCGCTGTCCCTCTACCGTTCTGAGCATGATGTCCTTCTCCAGGGACTTGTTCCTCCTGGCCATGTGCCCAAAGTATGTGAGACAGAGCTTCAAAATTCTAGCCTCCAAGGAGAAGCATGGTTTCACCCTCTCCAACACAGACCTATTTGTTCTCTTGGCAGTTCAATACTCTTCTCCAGGACCACAACTCAAAGGCATCGATTCTTCTTCTGTCAGTTTTAGTAATACATTTAATAGCTTGTGACCAGTTGTTAGTTACTACACTTTCTAAAGTCTATGGAAGCTTTAGAAAATATACAAACTATAATGACCATATAAATGATAGTGGAAAATGAAACATCCTATAGGTGAGATTTAATTGATCCTGAGGAAAACAGAACTAATACTTACTGCATTTAGAAAGTGCTCTTAAAACTATTACTAGACTCTTCATAGTTAAGAATACTTACAATAATAGACACAAAGATGAAATGTGATAGTTTCAGGAAAAACTCCAAAGGCTATAGTGAAAAAATCAAACACCATCCATGAACCCCTAGGCCCTTGAAAAGGAACATAATGTCCTGCCTTCACAGAGCATACATTTTATAGGGGAAGTCAGACAAAAACTCAAGAAACCCATGTGTCTGCACATATTTAGGGAGCTGTGGTGGTAGTCGACACGGAGCTGAGCTGCTGACCTAAACACTGTGCGTCTCTGGCAGTGGGAAACCACCATTATCTCTGAGAGAGAAAGATGGGCTTTTAATCCTCCCAGGTGATTTTCAGCCTTGGAATCCTGCAGGGAAGATCAACTATAACCTGGTTCTGACTCAGCCACATTGAGTTTGAGTTTATAATCAAATCATGATAAGTATGTGAAGGGGAGGGGAAGAGAGAGAATATCAGGAATCATGAGGTGGTTACTATTTAAAACAAATAGGATGTTAGGGAAACCTTACTTTTGAACTGTACCCCAAGGATACTTGAAGGAAAGAGCAAGTGCAAATACCCTGAGAAAATGCATTTGACTTATGTGAGATAAAAGAGGTCAGTGGAAGTTGGGTGCAGGAGTAGTGATAGGGAAAGAGAAACTAAAACCAGTGGCAAGGAAGTAAAAATAGTGAACCCTGTGGCTTTATAAGCTGATTAGAAGATTTTCCTCTGAGTGAGAGTAAAAGCTGCTAAATTTCTGAATGATCTGATTTAATGTTTTAAAAGGATCACTTTGTTAGATTGCTAGGCGAAAGGAGAGAGATCAAGAGATTACTATAGTGATTAGATGATATGCTGGTGATTTATTCTGTAGTGTTAATAAAAGATGAAAGCAGTGACACATAGTTAGGTTTTAACGATGTTGTAATAGTACAAAATTGACAGAATTCTGATAGGTTTTATCAGAATTATAAGTGTGGAAGATGCCAAAATTGTTGGTTAAAGCAGTTATATGTATGCTTAATTATTTTGTTGGTTTAAGCAATTATAAATTCCTATTTCCTAAAATGGATTAGGAGGAGACTGAAGAAATTCTACTTTGAGCCTGGTAGGCTTGAACCACCATCTAGACATCATAACCTATGAATGGATAGATGTTATTGTTGTTAGGTGTTGAGATCTGAATTCTGTCCCATTCTGTGCCATCCTCACAATCTCTGATGAGTCCATTGCTGCAGTCACTGTGTCAGTCCATCTGGATGAAGGCCTTCCTCCCTTTCAGTGACCCTCCACAGTTCCAAGCTTGATGCCCCTCTCCAAGTATTACCCTCTCTAGCAACATGCCAATGTATTTGAGATGAAGTTTTGTTATTTTTGCCTCCCCGGAGCACTCTGGCTGCACCTTCTCCAAGAATTATGCTCTTTTTTATAATATTAATAAATTTTTATTTAATGAATGTTGCTTTGTCTTTTAATTCCATTGTCCATCAATATCACCACAGTCCCTCCAAAGCTTGTATATAAGATTCATCTTCAAGAGAACCCTTGTTCCACTACTGTTCCTTTAATATCGATTTCTGGAGGTCACCTCATTCTTCTGTGCAATACTGCCACTGGACACAGAGCTGTCACATTTTGTTTCCATTAGGCTGCATGCTGATATGCTTGTTCTCTCCTACTATTTCTCCCTATTAGTCACTCACTTCAGGGTCATTTTAGGATACCAGTACTTTCTACTTCTTCATTTCAGTGTCGCTGTATGATGAATGTGTTGATATCCTAATAATTCCAGAGAAAAGTACAGATCTATGGAATTAGGACATGCCAACATCTAAGGAATAAAAATAAAAGTTAACTATGAGATCATGGATACTTGTAAAAATTATCTGTATTGTAGTTTCTTCTCACAGATACAATAAATATTTCTGTGAGTAAAACAAAACCACACAGTTGTTCTATGAGGCATTTCCAATGACATAAGCCTATAGAATTATGTTCTTTTGACAGTCAGTGAGATATCCAGCACTCTTCTCCAACACCGCAGCCCAAAGACATCAATGTTTCTGTCATTCAGACAGAAAGGAGAGATAGGTGATTGTTTGGATATGAGTTTACAGTTCAGAAAAAGTAGAAATTTGAAGGTTTTAGTTAATATTTAAATAATGATGTGAAAGAGGAGTTGTGTTCACATACAGGGTCTTTAGGCCATTGTGAAGGTTTTTTTAAGATTATCTAAGGAATGTGTTTTGCTGAAGAAGAGAAAAATCCCATTATTGCACCCTGGAACACTTCAACTTTTGAAACTAGGGAGGAAAGAGGTGACCTCTGGTGGCCTAGTGGCAAAAAAAAGGTGTACTGCAATCCCAGATGTGCATGGTTCAAATCCACCAGATTCTCTGCTGGAGAAGGAGAAACAATTTCCTCCTGTACCAGTCAGATCTGATTTGATGGTACACACACACACACACACACACAAAATATTTTCCAAAAAAACAAACTAGGAAGGAAAAAAGATGGACGTCATTGGTAATGATGAGAAAAAAATATATAGTCTCAGAAGCTAAGTGAAGAAAATGTTTCAAGACGAAAGGAGTAATAGATGATGCTGGTATGTCAGAATAAGATATCACACACACACACACACACACACACACTCACTCACTCACTCACTCACTCACTCACTCTCTCTCTCTCTAACATGGAAAGCAAGACCTTAACGAGAGATCTTTTGGATAGGTAGTGGAAGTGAAAATTTGGAATGTGAGAAAAGGGTTCAAATATCTATTTGCAAAACCTGCTTTATGAGACTAATAGGTGACTTTTTTTTTTTTATTCTGGAAGGTTTTATTGTTTATTGGGTTGTACCCTCTGTTCTGGGGATGTGTGACTGCGAGCTCCTGCGGTGAATACCAAGGCGTCACAGAGAGGCAGCCTGGGCGAGGACACCCTGGCCCCTGGCCCCCCTCGCACTTGCTGGGAGGAAAAATAGGTGACTTTGAGCACTGACTGGATATTTGATATTAAGAAGTTTTTGTTTTTTAAAAATAATGACGATAACTGCAATCCCAGATGCACCTGGTTCGAATCCACCAGATGCTCTCCTGGAGAAGGAGGGACAATCTCCTCCTGTACCAGTCAGATCTGATTTGACGGTACAATGC